CAGGTAAGTAGGAATCTCGCCTACAACATGAATATTTTAAAGAAAAAAAATTACACATGTTATATATATACATGTTTATGCTTTAAGTATTGTATGCGATGCCATGTCATGCTGCATGCACCTTAATAAGTCAAGAGGAACTTATAAGAATGATTTCAGTGGAGTGTCGTACTAGCTTCCGACCTAAGAGAGGTAACTCAAGCTCCACAAGGGAGAAAAGAAAAAAAAAATAATGTCCTCCGACTTAAGGGAGGCATTCAAGTTATAATCACAGTGTCGCGGGGGACCTTGCAAACCCTCACGTCCCGATGATTACGCGCAAGTGGTACGCGAGCACTCGGGCCCATCAGTAAGAAAGATAAGATAAGATAATAAGACTATGATAAGACATCATAATTAAGCATAATCAGCTCATGCATATTTATTCATGTGTACTTACAATTATTTTGTGAGATATAGTTCCTACTTGCTGAGCGAAAGCTCAATCAGATATGTTCATGCTGTAGGTAAGAAACCTATCAGCAATTCCTGAAGGGCAATGGCAAGCGGCGGACGAATGGTGGAGATGGGAATGGATACCGCTCATGCAGTTATCTTCCGCAGTAAGTTTAAGAAAAATCATGTATATATCTATATGATTCAAAGGTTTCAAGTATGTATGTTTAAAAAGTAGAGGTACATATGTATGTTAAGAAAATCGAGGTTGTAGCTAACAACTCTAGTTTTGAGTATTTAAGTTTTAGAACGTTGCAACAGTGCATGCAACAAATAAACGAATTTTAAACATGACGATTTAAATGATTGATTTTAAAAGAACTTTAAGATGTACTTGAATTTAAGATTTCTCACGTAATCCGTTTTAAAGTCAAATCAAATGGCCCAATTGAATTGGCTAGTTTTAGAAAGGCTTTTAAAGAGTATTTGAAAAATGAGTTCAAACACAGCTCCATTTGAAAAATATTTCTAGAAGGTTTTATCTTAATTGAAATTAAGAAAAGCTTTAAGAAATTCAGTGATTTATTCTTTTGAAATTATTGTTACGAATTATGAAAGTATTCATTCTTATGTTTAAAAAAAAAATGTTCCGTAAATTTTAAGAAATGCCAGTAAGCACAAATTAAAAACTAAGTTACGGTGACGGCCTCATAGGAGGGTCGTCACACATTGTAACAGAAGGGACAAATTTGTTAACAGAATAAAGTTTGGAGGGAGCGGATGTTACGTTTTACAATTCGGGGAGTAAAATGTTACAAAGGTCATAAGTCAAGAGAATTTTTAAAATTAATCTAAATAATTACCATTATATGACTTTTCAATAATTGTCGGGAAAGAAGCATTAAAAAATTGTTCGAAGACGATACAATAACCAATAACATATGACTATTTTTATAAGAAGCAATGAACATATAATACTATTTTCAGCGATCAATTTAATATTAATGGTTCTTATTGCGGTGGAGATTATGCTTTCATCTATTTAAAGCAAATAGTTGTAATTATTTTTTTTTATGAATATTCCGGATCCTTAGTCTGTAGGTTCCTTTCATTACATTAAAAGGGAAAAAAAAAAAAAAAAAAAACTACGGCTGATCATCTTTCTCCACCTTTATTTATTAAGAAAAAAAAAATGTAAATCACGATTTAAAACATGAATTTGTCATTTGAAATCGGAAAAAAGAGACAAATACTTTTAAAAATGTACGAGTCTTTTTACTTGTTACACTTAATTAATACTTTTAGTCAAAAAAATATATCAGTCCAAAAGATATTAATAAAAAAAATAAAAAGTAAAAATCTTATAATAATGTATTTAAAAGATGAGTTCACTAATTTTCTCTTTGAAAATTTTATTTTTTAAAGATAAATGGACGTGTGGATTTGGTTATCACAATCCATGGAACACAACCTCAAAGGGGCTAAATGTGAATGAAAGTTATGTTTGGTAGGAAGGAAAGAAAATAGATAGAAAGAAAATATGAAAGTAATAGAAAATAGAAATTATGGAAAGGAAATTGATTTTCTTTTATGTTGTTTGGTATGAGAAGATGGAAAGAAAATGAGCTTACCTTCACTTGTTTGGTATTGAAAGTTAAATTGGGAGGAAAGAAAAAATCTTACTCGTAAATTACTTTTGTACCCTTAAATTTTTTATTTGGATGTTGATGGAGAAAATGGTAGTTTAGTAACTTTGCTCACTTTAATGAGTTGTTCTCATTTTCCATCTCATTTTCTGCCCACTTGTGGGAAAAAAAAAATGGTGAGGCCCACATGTATTATTTTTCACTCCATTTTCTCTTCTTTTCTCTTTTCTCTCCTACCAAACAACCTATATTTTTATTTTTCCTCCTAAAATTCCTCCACCTTCTTCCTTCCTTCTACTTTTCTTTCCTACCAAACATATTCTAAGACAACTGGCTATTGGCCATTGTCTGGCCCCCCAAAAGCAATATTGACTCAGTGGGATTTGCATTAAATCTTCATTTGTAATTTCTGCGAAACCACACCAGCTTGGATTTCATTCCTCCATGTGTCAAATTTCATTCCTTGATTAATTTCAAATTTTTTAAATGATGTGATATTTAGGATACGAAAAGGAATTTGAGTGCAAAGAAAAATATTATAAAGTAGAGTTCTCAAAAAGTGAAATTGATACTTTCTATGCCATTATTGTGCACTATATAAGACATGTTTAGTTCGTTGATTCGAGTTAGATGTGATTTTATGTGAGAATTTTTTATTATAGTAAAAAAGTTAGATGTAAATATTTTTGAGAAATTTTTACTATAGTAAAACTCAAATTCTAAATTCGAATCAATAAAATGAACGGAAGCATAATTACTCTCTGTTTAATTATTAAAGTATTGCTGATGATCATCTCCCATATTAAAAAAAAAAAAAGGAATTGCAGCCATCATAATTTCACATATATATAGACATTTAGGTAGCTTAGTGCGGGTCAAATCATATGGATTAACTCATTACTTACCTAAAGTCACTTTTAAAAAAAAAAAAAAAATTCCCATCCTTTAGTGGGTCCAAAATGTTGTTTAGCGGCTTTCACATCAGCTTGGAAATTGCTAAATTGTTGTCTTTTAAAAGTCCTTGAGATTAATTATATCCATTGAAACACCATTCACAAAGAAGGCCACTTTCAAAGTCATAAAAATACCATCTCAAACACCAAATATTGCTAAATTATGGAGGATAATAATAAGCTTGATTTGATGAGTGATCTTCCATGTGAGATTCTCAGACACATAATCTCATTTCTTCCATTGAAAGAGGCTGTAAGAAGCACCAGCGTTCTTTCAACTACTTGGAGGCAACTTTTGGCACCACTTTCTGTTAACTTGGAGCCAAACACAAAGGGAATAGCAAATATTCAACAAGTTCTAGGTAGATTCTTGAGATCTTATGTTAGTCATGAGAGATTGAAGCTGATCTCTTTTCGCGCCGCCGGCGACGACGACGGAGAAGATCTGAAAGATGATGTTGGTCTAATTGCCATGGCCACAAAGGGTGTGGAAAAGGAGCTTCATCTCCATTTCATGGAAAATTCTCGAAAAAGTAGGACAATTGACCATGGATTTCATTTGAAGATGCAACAAACACTTGTTCTAGGAAATGTTCAAAGCTTTTCTTCTCTTAAGACTCTCCATCTTAGATCAGTCGACCACCATGCTACGAGGTTGGTCTCGGATTTGTTCGCTTGTTGTCGTCGTCTTGAGAGCTTGACGCTCGAAAAATGCGGCGGATTAGAAGATCTCCATGTAGAAGGCTGTAATTCTCTCCAAAGTTTGACAATCTTGGACTGTGGAGACATTGTCAGCATCACAATTTGTGCACGAAACCTCAAATCATTCTCGTACCGCGGAGTTCTTCCTCGGATGCAACTGCAAAGTGCTTCCGATTTGGTTGAAGCCAATCTTGATTTCAGGTATGGTGTAGGCGGTAACGAATTCGATTTGGAGGAAGTTCTTTGCCTTCTTGATTCTCTCAAGGAAGTCCAAATTCTCACCCTATGTGGCTGGCTTCTTGAGGTAATGAATATACTTTTTTATGTTTTCGCTTAATTTTCTTTCCTTGTATCTATTTTAGTACTTTAAAACATTTTTCTCCAAGAGTATCATGCCGAATTTTTTTTGACAATAAGCATTTTTATGTTTCCAAAAAAAAAAAAAAAAAAAAAAAAAAAAAAGTGGATGTGTACGGCAGGGGTAATATTTGGAAGGCTTGAGTTTCAATTCAACAAGTTGAAGAAATTGTGTTGGTTTAGTTCTTCCATGGACAGAGCTAAGAGGGATTCCTTGGCTTGCTTCTTAAATATGTGTCCTTTATTGGAGAAACTCTTAGTTCAAGTAAGTAAAATAAAAATATATATATATATATATATATTACATTAGCTTATTTACACCTCAATTCTAAAATTAATATTATCATTTGCAGATGGATCAAAGCTTTAGCTCTTTTCCTTGTCCGTTTTTTCATCAACATTGGCATGAGCCTCATCTTTGGATGGATTATGAAATGGTGAAATCCAACACTTCACAACTTAAACACCTTAAAATTTTCGAGCTATCGGGTTTCTCCAGCGATGACAGTGAACTGCTTCTAATGGAACTATTGCTCAACAAAGCGGTTGTCCTTGAGTCAATGATTGTAACATAGCTAGACGGTGCCGTGTTTGGTATGAGAATTCTTGCCATAATTCGAATCATAATTCATAGTTCGTTTTAGTGTTTTCTCTCACAAAAAATACACGTAAACCAAGAATGATTCTGAATCTGTAAACTAAACGTCCACTTACTGTATAGAATCAACTAAGTTAGCACAATGGCTAACTCTATATGCATTGTTGGGAAAGAAAAAAGGAAAGAAACATGAGCTATATATTTGGGTGGATTCTAGGATATTATTATTATTATTATTTTCAAATGAAATTGAGGATAGATGAATTCAAACTCTAGAGCTTAATATTAAAAATAGATGTGAAATTATCGTTAGTTAGAGCTCAAATTCATTACGTTTCATTTATACCCCGTTTATTTCACCGATTCGACTTTAGAATTTGAGTTTTGCACAAACAGTCACATCTAACATTTTTACTACAGTGAAAAGCTCTCACATAAAATCACATCTCAACTCGAATTAAAAACTCAAATCAGCGAACTAAACGGATTCTGTTTTATTGATTATCAATCTTGTATGATATGTTTGTTCAAGCCGTCTTCAGTAGATTTTTTGGATCGTAGGATATATAATAACCAATTACTGGCTTCTTTTTTAATTATCTTTTAAACTAAAAAAAAAAAAAAACCTTATGTTATCTCAGGCAAATAAATTATGAAAGTCACTAATAAAAAAGAATCGTTTATAGATCTTTTCTTTTTTATTTCTCTTTTCAAGCTGGCTGTACTACGAAGTACGAACACATGAGACGAATCTGATTTCAAATAGAAAAAACCCAGTTGCAAAAAAAAAAAAAAAAAAAGATTCTTTTTAAATGTATTTTAAGAAAATTTGTAAGGAAAAGTTTAGAAAATGTTGCATTTTCTATACGTGTGTTCAGCTTTGACCGGGCAAATCGGTAGGTGATCCGTTTAGATCAATATGTTGTCTGCCACATTCTTTAGCAAAGTCACTTTTTTTTTCACTTTATTAATGCAAAAAGTCTATCCAATATTTTCACACTGTGCGTTGGGCAACAATACCAAAATTTCCAAAGCACAGTTTCATCCACCAATAAAGTAAGAAAAAAGGCACTTCAAAAAAAAAAAAATATATATATATATATATATATATTTGACACGTGAGTCGCCCAAGTTTTTTGACAAAAAGAAAATGTACGAGGTAAAACCAATGCATTTACTACTTTATATGTGCGCTTTGAAGAAGTTTGCTATTGTAATAACCTTAATCCCAAGTGTTGTTAAAAAAGAAAAAAGAAAAAAAAATCCCTTGATCCCAAGTATGAGTTAGAAGCAATCCCTTTTTTCTTTAGAGTAACACTACCACACAACTAAGTCGAGCATCACAAGATAAGGAAAAAAAAAAAAAAAAGTCTATATAGATCGTCTTACTTGTAGAATCACTTTTTATTTGTTACGGTGTCTACCTCAATAAGAACTAAAAACTTTTTTCTTTATTTATTTTGTTATTGTTAGGACTATTAGTTAGTAAATTTGTTGACAAAAAGTTGTAAATTCAAAAACAAAATTAGTAAGATTGTGGACTACTATGAAGACTCTATTCTTGGCTACTTGCACCGCATTTGGGATGATTTCCTCAATAAAGGGAAATAAGTTTATGGAGTTGATTTGGTTGACTTTTAGTGGCTAATTGATGGGCTCTATGTATGAGAAGAATCCTTAGAGGAGAAGTTGTTTTCATTTAGGGTGATTTTGGTGGAAGAAATAGATAGGACTATGGACTAATTTCAGGTGTATATATTTGGTTTGCAGCCATGAATGTGGAAGTGCTTATTGAGTGATTTATTCTGCAGAAAAAAGTTGTTTTGATGTTCTTTGAGTAAAAAAACAAAAGGTGGTTCTTCGGGAGAAGAACGTATTGCTTTTGGAAGAAAGTTTTCAGAGATGAGTGGTACTTACTGGACAAGGCCTCTAAGAAGATTCTACACAGCAGCGACAACATCAAGAAGGGAGCTTTGAGTGTGTAAGACCGATTGGTGTTTGTAATATCTTTATCTTAGTGGATTATTCACTGTCTGGGCGTGACCCCGCAGATGTAGGTATGTACACCGAACTGTGATATCAATTCCTTGTGTCTTTTATGTTTATGTTAATCTTTCTGCACTTATAATTTACTGCTGCTGAATCAAAGAAAAAATATATCCAACTATACATATCTGTCATCAATGTTACAAGTGTTATAATATTTTTTGTGACACCGACCAAAAAATGAACCTTTTAGTTATAGTGCTATCGGGTACTCGTGTATCTTTTGAAACTCACTACACAATGGAGTCGTATGTGGAAAACGCAAAATTGGTACCCGTCTATTATTTTTTCTCTTTTATTGCAACATAAATGTTTCCTCTTAACTCAAAAAAAAAAAAAACAAAAAACAAAAAACAAAAAACAAAACAAACAACAACAACAAATTATGTTCTATCTCACCATTTCAATTTTCAACCCCCAAACATTGCAGATTCAGTTAAACTGAAAGTCGTGCATTTATTAGTAAATGGGCAGTTTTGGGCCAATGGTTGCCCTTCAACTTAGCTCGTCTTTGTACATCTCCACGAATTGAGTACATAGACAAAAATTTTACATTTGGGCAGTTTTGGGCCAATGGTTGCCCTTCAAGGAAATGAAGGCAAAAATTTTACATTTTTCAAGAAATGACATAAATCTTAAGTATATATAGTGTACTTATAAATTTCTCCCTAAGTCTTCATAGTGGATTTAGAGGGGTCAAATTTTGGGACTAAAAAAAATCAACGCCTACTCCAAGAAACGACGCTACGCACGCCTATTGCTGCCTGTATGCTGTACGTGTGCATGCATGGTGGCTACTACGTTGTTGATTAACTTCCTAAGGCTATTAGGCCCCGTTCAGATTAGAGTTTTTAATTTGAGTTAAAAAGTGAATTTATATAAGAGAAAATATTAAAATAAAATAAGTTAAATTTAAGTTTTTGTTAGAGAAAATTTTGTAGTAAAATCTTTATGGCTTCTTTAGAAGGTAAACTCGAACCCAAATCATAATTCTGTTACAGTGGTTTTTTTATCTAATAAAGAGTTTTAATTCAAAATTTTCTCTCTCACAAAGTTCTCATTAATAAACCTAAATCATAATTTGAGATACTTTTTAAATGGGCTCTTAGTTATGATTTGAATCAACAAAATGAATTGAACCTTAGTTTTTAGTATTTACACCCTCCACAAACTGCCATGCATTAATGCTGTTTATCATTTCATGATGTACCAGCTAAATTGTTATTGTCGTTTTAGGCCATGCCCAATTGAGCATTTGATCTGCTAAAATAATGGAACAAGAAAGACCCAAATCACTTGAAAGTGTTCAGGCCAAGCCATAGGCCCATAATTTTGACACTTGAAGCAATGGCATAACATTTTCTTTACTTGTTTTTTTTTTTTTTATGATTTTATTTTGCTTCTTAAAAACACTTCTTAGTAGTTGTAAGTTGAGTATAGTTTAAACTTTAAGGTCCAAAACTATCTAGCTGGATTGCATTGAAAAGAAAAAAGAAAACTGTCTAGCTGGAGAGAAAGTGAAAGAAGATAATTAAGTATTTTATAAATAGTAATTATTATAGGAATTTTAAATTTTACTATTTATATAGTATTCTAAATTTATTTGCTATATTATAGCGTGACAGGTAATAAGATGTGACTAGCAATACTATACTATACTATCTATCTAACTCATCATCCCAATCATAATCTTTTTATGCAAATTAGAGAAAGGCCACTCTTCAGACTCTAGTAAGCTTTTAAGTATTTTTTGCCATATTTATCCGAGAAAGATTCCTTCACGTGATTCTTACCCAAAATATAAAATATAAAATTCCTTTACATGGTTCACATGAAAAATAGTTTAAGAATCCTTAAAAAAAAAACAAAACAAAACAAAACAAAACAAAAATTTCAGAATATTATCACCGAAACACAATATATCTATCTAAATCTGATCTAATATAGCAAAAGTCCTATTTATATACACGTTTGAAAATAGTTCATATCTTTCAAATAGGTGACAGGCTAGCTTCCATATATAATCATTATATAAATGAAATGAGTAATTATTCACAAATTCACTTTTCGTCATTACATGAAATTCATCATCATAATTCATAACTGTTCTTTTATGTTGAAACTCGAGAATCTTTTTCTTTTTTTAGTTTTTCTTTTCTTGGTAAGACAGTAAATTATTTATCACATTGACAGTAAACCGAAATTCAAAAAAGACAGCTAGTAATAAGTGTAAATTTCGTGTGAAAAGAAAAACAAAATTTAAATAATGAGTCTAAATTAATCAAGAATCTGCACAGAAACTTATCCAAGATTCATAAGACATAATCAAGCCCATTTTCAAACCAAATTAACCGGAATAAATAAAAAAAATCAATGCCCGAAGAATGTGGTTTTATGTCCCTATTTAATCATCCTTTAACTATACAGCTAAATTTAGCTACACCCTATTGACCAGCTTGCCATAAAAAGCGTTTTTTTTTTTTCCTTACAAAGGAAAAAAACAAAAAACAAAAAAAAAACTATTTTTCTTGATATAACATTGTGACAGACTGGTGGTCAGAATACAAGAAGATGATATAAATTAGTATCCTTTGCTTAGAAAAATGTATTGAAGAATTGATCACAACAAAATCTGAAAATTATATCATCATGACGGGTTTTGATGAAGGTGGTGGACGTGGAAATGATGATCACCCTCATTCTAATATCAAAATCACTGGTGAGTCATTTCATGGAAATTTTATTATGTGAATGCATTTGAGATTATGTTCTAAGAAAAAAAAAAAAACAAAAATAAGTGTTTTCATTGAAGATTGTTGGTGGGAATTTCAATATTTTTTGCCTTCTTGCATTGCTTTTATGACATGCATGGTTTTGAGAGGAGATTATATATAATAATCACAGATTTTTGATGAGTTCGATATGTTCTTAGTTCTTACAAAGACAAAAACAAAAACAAAAATTAGTGTTTTTATTAAAGATTTTAGTCTGCCAATGTTTTTTTTTAATATATATTTTGGCATTGCTTTCTGATCACATGCATGGTTTTGGGAGAAGATTATAATAATCACAGAATCTTTTGAGGAGTTTTTATCATGTTATTGATGATCAGCTTGTTGATGGTTGGTGATACTTTCCCTTCCTAATGTTCTTGAATTAATGTTTTATGACATGCATTTGTTTTCAGGATTTGTAACAAAAATTTAAAGATAATTTTCATCATCCTAATTATAGTATTAGCATTCTTCATTCTACAGAAGCTATGAACTCGTAATTTGAAATATATATATGTTTATTAAAGGCTTGTTAATATGATGAATATATATATATATATATATATATATATATTTGCAGGGTAAAATCTTACTCCGATATTTTCTCAACTTTCAAGGCATAGAATTTCTATGCCTTAAGAATAAATATGAAGCTTTCTTCTTCTTCTTCTTCTTTTTTTTTGAGAACAAAGTTGGTTTTATTTTCTCCTTATGTACGCTTGGTTCCCATATTCTCTTGAATTGTTTTGATGTTTTGCATCTTGCAGTAATGGAATTATGTTTTTTTTTTTTTAAATGGTTTTCTTTTACCACTCTTTATTTCTATATGAGATTATAATGAAATTACTATAACATAACAATTTTACTATCTGATATTGTTCTCAAATCATATAATCATTTCATGTTCACATTTTAGGACCATTTGTTGTTTAATAATACATATTTATTAAACCTTGAGTTGGAATGGAATTTGTTCTTTTGGCAGACAATGAAGAAATAGATGACAACCCAATTGAGCAAGTGAGGCTCACAGTGTCAACAACTGATGATCCCTCACAACCTGCATTGACATTCAGAACATGGTTCCTAGGCATCTTCTCGTGTGTCCTCCTTGCCTATGTCAACATGTTCTTCGGTTACCGCCAGAACCAGCTGTGGGTGTCCTCGGTCTCGGCGCAGATCGTTGTGCTCCCAATAGGGAAGCTGATGGCTGCGACGCTCCCAAAGAGGCCTGTCAAACTCCCCTTCACGGGCTGGTCCTTTTCGATGAACCCGGGGCCTTTCAATCTCAAAGAGCATGTGCTCATCACCATCTTTGCCAATTCTGGTGCTGGTGGTGTTTATGCAGTCAACATCATCACTATTGTCAAGGCTTTCTACCACAGGAACCTCCATCCTGTTGCAGCCTTTCTCCTGTCACAAACCACTCAGGTTGACATTCTTCTAATATCCTACTAATATGACAGTTTTTAACCGTCATATTTTCATCAAGTTTTGTTAAATTATCGTATTTTTCTTAATTTCATAGGACGGTTAACAACTGTGTCCTGTTAGTATAGTATTTTTTTCATATCCTTTATATAATTCTCTAAAACCAATTTGTAATTTGTGAATATAATTGGATCTTAGGATTATAATTGAGAGTTGAAATTTTCAGATGCTCGGCTATGGATGGGCTGGAATATTCAGAACTTACCTTGTTGACTCCCCTTACATGTGGTGGCCAGCAAATCTGGTCCAGGTCTCTCTATTCAGGTAATTTATAAGTTCCATCTCGTGTTAAATATATTTAGCCGCTTAAATAGGTAATCAATCTAGTCTTAATCAAAAGAAGCAAGAAAACTAGTTTCTACTTTCTAAGTAGAGATTTGGGCAATTAGCCATTTAGTGAACAAATCTACAAGTGAATTGCAGGGCATTGCATGAGATGGGGGAAAAAAAAGTCTTAATCAAAAGAGTTTTGGGTTTTTAATCTTGAAAAGTTTTACATATGTATTGCAGGGCATTGCATGAAAAGGAAAAGAGATCAAAGGGAGGACACACCAGACTGCAATTCTTCTTTTTGGTGTTCATCTGCAGCTTCGCATACTACATCGTTCCGGGCTATTTTTTCCCATCGATAAGCGTGATCTCCGTCGTGTGCTTGGTATGGAAGAATTCCATCACTGCACAACAGCTTGGTTCTGGCCTAAAAGGCCTTGGACTTGGCTCATTTGGTCTTGACTGGTCTACAATTGCTGGCTTCCTTGGCAGCCCTTTGGCTACGCCCGGTTTCGCCATCATTAACATCTTAGTTGGTTTTGTCTTGTTTGTTTATGTGATCACCCCCATATTTTATTGGACCAACGCTTATGAAGCTAGAAAATTCCCTCTCATCTCCTCCCACACCTTCGACTCGACGGGAAAAACCTACAACATTTCTCGGGTCCTTGATGAAAATACATTCAATCTTGATCAAGAGGGTTACAACAATTACAGCAAGCTCTATCTCAGTGTCTTCTTTGCCTTGAATTACGGGTTGAGCTTTGCGACTCTAACCGCCACTATTTCGCACGTCGCACTCTTCCACGGAAAGTAAGTCTCTTGACCATACATAGAGTGCGTTTGGAATTCGTTCTAAAATGATTTTATTTTTTGTATGCAAATGAAAATAAAAACGTTTTTTATCTCAGACATAAATTATTTTTAAAAATACATTTAGTAATTTTATTAAGAGATTATTTTTAGTGTAAAAATATCCATTAATGTCTCTCTTTCTCTCTCTCTACTCGAGAGATGAGAAAATAAAAACAAAAAATGAAAAAATGACTAAAAGTTTTTCATTTCTCTTTTATTTTACACTAAATTAAAAAATCGTTTTCATATCCGTTTTTTGTCTTTATTGTGTCAAACGTCATTTTAAAAACGTTTTTTTTTTCTCAAAAAACGTAAAAAATAAAAATGGAATCAATTCTAAACACGGCCATAGAGTTTAACTTCGAGTCTACCATGTCACAGTTCTTTTGAGCTAACAATTAATTTTCTCTTTGTGGTGAGCAGAACAACATGGGAAATGTGGAAGAAGACAACAAGTGTGGTGAAAGATCACTCCGCGGATATCCACACAAGACTGATGAAGAAGAACTATGATGCGGTGCCTCAATGGTGGTTCCACATCATACTGATTTCAATGGTGGCTCTCTCAATCTTTGCCTGTGAGGGTTTTGACAAGCAGCTCCAACTCCCATGGTGGGGAATCCTAATGGCTTGTGGGATTGCTCTTTTCTTCACCTTGCCAATTGGCATTATTCAAGCCACAACAAACATGGTATGCTCATGCCCATAAAGATAAAATATAAAAAAAAAGAAAGAAAAAAAAACACAAACATATTAGGTGCATTTGGAACTCGTTTCAAAATGATTTTATTTTTTATATGAAAATAAAAATGAAAACGTTTTCAATCTCAGACAGAAATTATTTTTGAAAATGCATTTGGTAGTTTTATCAAGAGATTATTTTCGATGTAAAAAAACTCATTAATGTCTCTCTTTCTCTCTCTCTCCTCAAGAGAGGAGAAAACGAAAATAAAAAATGAAAAAGACTAAGAGTCGTTTTTCATTTCTCTCTCATTTTACACTAAATTAAAAAATTATTTTCATTTCCGTTTTTTATCTTTATTGCGCCAAACGCCGTTTTAGAAACGTTTTCATTTTTTTCTCAAAAAACGTAAAAAATAAAAACATGATCAATTTTAAACATAGCCATTGTAATGCTCCTTAAATTAGCAAGTCATTGATATGAATGATCGATAAACAATTTGTTAATTTAGGAGGCGTTATATATATGATTTAAGGGGTTTTGTTCTATTTTGATGATGACCCTAATCAAGTTATTTATTTTTACGTGCAGCAACCAGGATTAAATGTGATCACAGAGTTAGTTATTGGGTATATCTACCCTGGAAAGCCTCTTGCAAATGTGGCTTTCAAGACTTATGGCTATATCAGCATGTCACAAGCTCTTGGCTTCCTTGGTGACTTCAAATTGGGCCACTACATGAAGATCCCTCCCAAATCTATGTTTGTTGTCCAGGTAAACAAAATTTTTTTGTTCACTTCACGTCCTATGATCATGCCTTCACTTGATCATGGAATGCCTCATTCCTTTTTTTGTTGTTATATGATCTTTCAGCTAGTTGGGACAGTAGTTGCGTCGAGTGTCTACTTTGGAACAGCATGGTGGCTGCTCTCCACCATCCCGAACATCTGCGACACCTCATTGCTGCCTGATGGGAGTCCATGGACATGCCCGGGTGATGACGTGTTCTACAACGCTTCCATCATATGGGGAGTGGTGGGACCGGCTAGGATGTTCACCAAGAAAGGCGTGTACCCGGAGATGAACTGGTTCTTCCTCATAGGTCTTGTCGCGCCCGTCCCAGTGTGGCTACTGTCGCGCAAATTCCCGAACAAGAAGTGGATCAAGTACATCAACATGCCAATCATATTTGCAGCCACAGGAGGCATGCCACCAACAAGGTCAGTGAACTACATCACATGGGGAGCTGTGGGGATATACTTCAACTTCTATGTGTATAGGAAATACAAGGGTTGGTGGGCCAAGCACAACTACATTTTGTCAGCTGCCCTTGATGCTGGGCTTGCTTTCCTGGCCATTCTTCTCTACTTTTCACTTCAGTCAAAGGAAATTTGGGGCCCAAATTGGTGGGGCCTTGAAAATGGTGACCATTGCCCATTGGCCAACTGCCCTACTGCACCTGGGGTTGTGGCCAAGGGTTGTCCTGTTCTATGACATATTTAAGTTTGCTTTCTTTGCTTTTTTAATTTTTCTTTTTTTTTTCTTTTCTTTTCTTCTAATGATAATATTATAATTATTAAATTAAGGTTTAGGAACCGCATTAAGCTTGTGCAATAGTTCTTTATTAGAAGAAAAGGATTGGTTTGGGTGCTTTGTTAATTGTATATTCTTTATGTAAGATCATTTCTTTATTAAGTGTGCTTTTAATGGTTACTCTAATATTTACCCATTAATATTTTAAGTATAAGATATTAATCTAATAGTTATGATAAATTTAATAGTTGATAAAAAAATTAATAAGAATTAATAAAACTAAATTCTTATCACCTCACATCATTAAATATTTATATTTTGATGTTATCACTTATGAAAACATAACTATTAAAAATACTTCCTTCTCTATTTTATCTAGATATGTTGCCAATTTGCTAATTAAGCTAAGAAATGGCTTTAGACAAGAGTTCATTGTGGACTTCAACTCATGCCCATCAAATCTTCTTCTTTTTTTTTTTTTTTTAGATTCATGAATAGCAATCCTGCATAGATGCTTAGAAATATAAGCTAAAATCAACACATACAGTCCTATTCCAAAAATTCATTAAAAGAAGTTAAAAAAAAAAGTGTTGATGATTAATGAAAAAAATATAATCCAAGTTGCCATCAATTAAAGACATGAAATATACATTTTATCTTAAAAAGTTATTGGGTAATCTAGCTATAATTTGCAGCAATTAGATATTGTAAATTATCTATTAAATTTATGTACGTTTTGTATCTCTTTGAAATCAAATTAAAAAAGACAAAATTGAGTGAGTTAAAAGCAAGTTAAAAAATACAAAATTAACAAAGTTAGTCAAAGAGGCCATGTTCTCCAAATTTCCCTTAGCCCATCTAAATTTGTGAAATAATTAAAGCTAATTTTCACGCATAAGAAACAGGTGAATAACTCAAGTGTAGAACCTAATTTCCAAAAGGAAAAAAAAATATTACTTCTGATTAATTTCTCAATTCAAAGTTTTAATTCAATCCTGTAAAAAGAAAGAGGTGTAAGATTGTAGGAAAATTATTAAACTTACTTTAAAAGTACATAAATTTAAATTTTTTTATTTTTAATTAATATTTTTTTTACTAATATAATTATTTAAATAAAGAGAATTAATCAAAAGTAAAAGATAAAAAAAAGAACATGAGATTCATACATTTTAAAAGGTGTTTGTTTCTTTTTTTTTCTTTAATTCACGCTCATCGTTAGTTTTGTTACAGTAAAAAACTCTAAAAAACAGTCACATTTATTTATTATTATTTTTTGTTACAGTAAAAAGTTATCACATAAAATCACATCTCAACTCGAATCAGCGAATTAAACGGGCCCTTAATATACACCACTCACACTTACCTGTAGCCCAAAAATCAATAAAAAATTTACATTTAAAGTGTATGAGTCTAAACGTTTATCTTTACTCTAGATAAATATTATTTTAATAATATAATTATTTAACTAAAAAATTATTAATTAAGAATAAAAATAAAAATAAACATCATTTTAATAATATAATTATTTAACTAAAAAAATTATTAATTAAAAATAAAAAATAAAAATTTTGACCCCAACACCTTCGTCGGTATTTCTCTCAAGATTTACCCTCTTCAGGTTTCGTCTGATAAAACAAAGAGGGAGGGAGAGAGAAGAAAGAACACGTAACAGAACAAGAGTCAAAAGCCATGGCCATATCCGCCGCCATTTCAGTTCCTCTGACATCTCCGGTGACTCGCCGCTCCTTCGCCTCCTTCACTCATCTCCGGCAACCGAACTTTCTCAGAGCAATACTTAGCAGCTCAACAAGCCCTAGTTTTCGCGTCATAGCGTCGTCGTCTTCCATGACCCTCGGAGCCGTCGAGAAGGCCTCGCCGGTGTCCTTTTTGGATCGCAGAGAGAGCGGTTTCCTCCACTTCGTCAAGTACCACGGCCTCGGCAACGACTTCATTTTGGTAACATCAAAACAAGAAGCTTAATTTCTCGATTGAAACAACAAAAGATATCTTTTCTTTGATTTTTGATTTTTTGGTTTTTGGAATGTAATGTAGGTGGATAATAGGGATTCTTCGGAGCCTAGGGTTACTCCGGAGCAAGCGGTGAAGCTTTGTGATCGGAACTTTGGAATTGGGGCTGATGGAGTCATCTTTGCTATGCCAGGCGTCAATGGCACCGATTATACCATGAGGATTTTCAATTCTGATGGAAGTGAGCCCGAGGTAACTGAAATTCCATGAGAATTGTTCTGAATTTTTCTCCTACGTAAATCAAAAATGATTTTGAATCATCATATCATCATTCTGAATCATTATTTTGAATCATCATTCTAATCTGAAACGTCATTTTGAATCTAAATCATCATTTTGTATCTATGAATCAAACGTCTATCTTATTTCTTTCTTGTCAAATCATGGAATTTATGTTGAATTTTTAGCTAAAGTTGACTTTTTGTATGTTGATATCTTTAGCAGTAGTTTGAACTTAATTGTATTTCTTTTCCATTCAAGAAATATCTTGATTTTAGAAAATTTGAGTCTTTTTAACTCAACGGTTTTGTACTTGTAACTTGTATTTATATAAAACTCATAGTGCTTCTAACTAGTGAATTCTCTCGTTTTTTTTCTAGTTTGTGTTACAATGCCGAACCAAGTTAAATTTTTGTGTTTTGTCTTGTAGATGTGTGGTAATGGAGTTCGGTGCTTTGCTCGGTTTATTGCTGAGCTTGAGAATTTGCAAGGAAAGCAAAGGTATAATATTATGTCTTTCCAAATAGATTACTAGTCACTGGGAATATCTCTTTTGATTATCTTTGAAAATGCTTGTGTGTTTTCATGATCGCAGTTTTACTGTTCATACCGGTGCTGGTCTAATTGTTCCTGAAATACAAGATGATGGCCAGGTATAGTTGAAAATACCAAACATTTGGTTATAGCAACAGGTCATAGTCAAAGCTAGTTTATATGATAGATTCCTTGGTGTCTTTACATTATCCTTTCATTTTTGTCTACAATCTAGAGAGATTGTTCTTTATGATTTCAGGTTAAGGTTGATATGGGGGAACCGATACTTAGAGCGTCAGATGTACCCACAAGATTACCTGCAAATAAGGATCAATCCGTCGTGAAGTCAGAGCTGCATGTCGATGGAATAACCTGGAATGTGACCTGTGTTAGCATGGGAAATCCTCATTGCGTAACTTTTGGTACAAAAGATGCCCAGGTATAACTTAGGCAGAATAATTTTGGACTTTATTTGAATTCTATTTTGGGGCTGTTTTGTTGGGCTCGAGTTGGTTTGGATGTACTTTATGCACATCTAAGTGAAAATATTTTAGATTGTGATAATTTTCTGCAACCCTAAAACCTGAAGGCTATAAAGACTGAACATCCTGGTATATGCTTTCTTCTTAACTTTCTTGACCAGATCGTATGAACATTAGTTTGTACTACTATCTTCAAGTTTGATCATTGAAGAGGGAAAAATAATAAAGAACAAGCCATATACCAAGCCTTGCTATTTTGGCCTTTGATAGTTTCTCAAAATTGTACGGCACTTTTGCACTTTTACCAGTAATATGAACAAAATTCACACACATTCATTATATTTTGTTGCTTACGTGTTCTGATTTTTCATCGTAATTTTGCAGAATTTGCAGGTTGATGAATTAAACTTGGCTGAAATTGGACCTAAATTTGAGCATCATGAGGTGTTTCCAGCTAGAACCAACACAGGTTAGAACTAGTCTATTCATAGAGATATCATTTAAATTCTAATAATAACCCGGTCAACTTATATGTTAGCATGAAGCGTTGGCTTCTCTAGTCTTTAGACACATTGTAGTTGCTTTACTTTGTGGATTGATCAAAATACTGTGTAGGATTGTTTTCAAGGGAATAGTGAAAAAGTAGTTGTGGAGAATGACAAATTGAAGTTTGGGTGCCATTGTTGTTTATTGAATTAATGAATGCAATTTTTCGGTTCCTCATATATGGTTGGCAATTGGCTGATCTCATGTTTTGATTGGCAGAATTCGTGCAAGTGTTCTCTCCTTCACATGTCAAAATGCGTGTTTGGGAGCGCGGTGCAGGTTTGTGCTTATTCAAAGATCATATAATCATGCTATTTACCAGAAATTATCGGTCATTTGACTTAGTTTATCTAAGTTAATGGCTTATTGTTATTTTAGGAGCAACTTTGGCCTGCGGGACCGGTGCTTGTGCTGTAGTTGTTGCAGCAGTTCTTGAGGGTCGTGCTGGGAGGGTAAGTTCCGGCATGCATATTTGAACTTAATTCCAAATTATGTACAATGAGAAAAACTTCTTAAGAAAGTAATATTGCAGGGGTTTTCTTATCCAAGGACTTGTGCTTGTGTTATTGCTTTTTTACGTAAATGCATTTCTTGTACACTTGAAATTGTCTCTGATTGGCTTCTTACCATTCATCTTATTTTCGTTCTCTCTACCGGACATAGAATTGCACTGTGGACCTGCCAGGAGGGCCGTTGCAAATCGAATGGAGGGAGGAAGACAATCATGTGTACATGACAGGTCCCGCTGAAGTCGTGTTCTACGGATCTGTCCGCCTTTGACGTGGCTCGTGAAGATTCTGTTGTTTGTTTTAATTTGTTATAAATGAAGAGAAGATTTTGTTGTTTAGATTCATGATAATTTTGTAAAATTGCAAGTGAAAGGAAGTCGTGGGGACATTGGGGCGTCTAAGCGATCTTACCTAGTTTCTGTACTACTGTAACATGAGCTATAAGAAAAAGAGAAAAAAATTAGTGAAGGTTGTTCGAATCATTACGACCGAGAACAATATCCTAATCTTGTTCTACTAATCATTACAAACGACAGTAAAAAGTATAACACATATAAATATTAACAATATATACATATATACACACACGTGTGTGTGTTTGTGCATATATACTTATGTACTTACATTTTTTTGCTATGAATATGTATGTACATACTTAAAATCTGTTTGGATAATTTTGTTCGACTTAGTCCTGAGTTTATTATTTTTGTAAATTTTGTTTCGTTGATGATATACTTTGAATTGAACGAGGTAGTCATCGCCTTCCCAAAAAAAAAAAAAAAAAAATGTAGTGCCTGTTTGGTTGATGTTTTAAATCCATAATTTTGATTCTATTATAGCGTTTTCTTCTTATAAAAAATTTAAATAAAAAAAATTATGTCAATGGTTCTCTCACAAAGTTTCCACTAATAAATAAGAATTATTGACTCGAATGCATGAACCAAACTGGCTCATAGATATAAATCGATTATTTAGTAAAAAAAATGCTAACATCACTCTTTATATCACTCTTTTTGTCACTTTCTGCATTCATTATTTTACGCATGAATTTCATCATCTCATTTCTCTTGCTTGTACTTGGAACACTTTGATATAGTTTTAAAAAGTCTATTTAAACTTGTTTTTTTAAGAATTTATATTTTGTAATTTTAACTACAAACTCTTCTCGCATGCCAAAGCATTTCTGACACAAATATTTATAGAAATATCAGTCATGTTTGGAATTGATCCCGTTTTTATTTTTCACGTTTTTTGATAAAGAAAAAATGAAAACGTTTTTAAAACGGCGTTTAACGCAATAAAGACAAAAACGGAAATTGAAAACGATTTTTTTCGTTTAGTGTAAAATGAGAGAGAAATAAAAAATGACTTTTAGTCGTTTTTTAATTTTTATTTTTTCCTCTCTCGAGCATAGAGAAAAAGAGAAAGACATTAATAAATTTTTTTATACTTAAAATAATTCATTAATAAAACTACCAAATACATTTTAAAAAATAATTACTGTTTAATATTAAAAATATTTTCATTTTTATTTTTATATAAAAATAAAATTATTTTAAAATAAATTCTAAACACACACATCATAGTCTTTTTTTCCAGAGAATCTTTGCAAAGCAAACCTTAGAAGCAATTTATAGTCTTTTTTTTTCTTCCCTTTTCCTGAGACAAAATTTTCGAATTTCTTAAAAGAAAAAGAAAAATACCCAATGGTACTAGTAAAGTAAGTGAGCGCCTCCTTTGAATAATTAATCCCAGAGTGGGCCCACTTTTTCGAAAATAGAAAAAAGAGATATCAAACACGCCTCGCGTCAACTAGCCGTTAGCATAAAATCAAACACGCCTCATTTCAAAACCACCCACTCACTTCTCACTCTCTCACTCATCTTCAAAAACCTCTTTCTTCTTTTTTCTCTCTCTAGATTCCCCAATCCGAACTTGATCAACACTTCAACAAAAGCAAAAATCGATCAAATTTTCCCTTTCTGCTTCGATTCGAATCTTCACCAACATTTCCGTAAGTCCATGATTTCCCCCTTTTTTTTTTCTCTTTTCTTTGCTCAATTCCAGCAAAAGTTTCGTCTTTCTTAATGTTGTTTGATTCTTCTTTATATAATAGTGAAAGAGGAAAGAATGTCAGTGACTCCTGATCTGTGCCGGAAAGTCGGAATGGGGATCGCTCCGTCGCCGTCTCCATTCCTCACGCCTCGCCCCGAAAGGCACCGCCACACCGGGAACTGGTCCTCAACTCGTCCGGACAGGGATAAAGAGGTTAATATCCAAGTTCTCCTCCGATGCAGGTATAATTTTACTATTTTAGTATTTTTAATTGATGAGCTTCAATGAAGGACAAAAGAGTGCTGAAGGTGAACTAATGGAAACTATGATTCATAATTTGATTTTTTTTTTCTTTTTCTGGTCTTATACTTTATGGCTTTTACAATGTGAAAAATGTAAATTATGGAAAAGGAAAAGAAAATTAGCCAAAAGAGAAGATAAAAAAGAAGCTCAATAAAGTTTGTTTATGCTCTTGTACTTTTTTAATCGAAATTTTGAATTTTTAATTTGATAAGAAGGGAATAGTAAGTGGCGAAAAAGAATTTATTATCCGTTCGGTTTGCTAATTCGAGTTGAGATGTGATGTTGTGTGAGAGCTTTTTACTGTAGCAAAAAAGTTAGATGTGACTGTTTCTGAGAACTTTTTACTGTAGCAAAACTCAAATTCTAAACTCGAATCAGCGAAAAGAACGGGGCATTAGTCTTTTCTCTTAATGAAATGCAATATTTTGCTCTTGTCATTTCATACATTCTTTAGTAATAAAACATGCTCTTTGTAGAATAATATTTTAAATATACATTTTTTATGTATAATTTAAAAATAAAAATAAAAAGATATGCATTGGGGTTAGCCATTTATCATTTTTGGTCAGGCCATTGAGTGAAGAGGAGCAAAGATCCAATGTGCAGAAGGTGATCTCTTGCAATGAACATAAAAGAGAGGTCACTGTGTTGCAGAGTGTAGCTAACAAGCAAATAGATAGAGTTTTCACTTTTGACAAGGTAATGTTTTAGTCATGACTTTGTTCTTCTTCTTGATTTAGTTTTCATAATGTTTATTGCATATCTATTTATTTGTGTGTTCTTTACATTATTTACAGGTTTTTGGGCCAAAATCACAACAAAGGTCTATATATGACCAAGCTATTTCGCCAATTGTGAATGAAGTTCTTGAGGGTTTCAACTGTACCGTCTTTGCGTACGGGCAGACGGGTACCGGTAAAACTTACACAATGGAAGGTGGCATGAGAAATAAGGTAATTTTCTTTCTATTTTAATCATGATGAAGTAGGTGAAGTTTCTGTTCATTAACTATATTTAATTTGCGGTATCATATTTTAGGGTGGTGATTTGCCTGCTGAGGCTGGTGTCATCCCACGAGCAGTTCGTCAAATATTTGATACACTTGAAGCACAAAGCGCTGACTACAGCATGAAAGTGACATTCTTGGAGCTTTATAATGAAGAAATAACTGACTTACTGGCTCCTGATGACAATTCAAGATCTGCAGCAGTAGAAGATAGGCAAAAGAAACCTATTTCACTAATGGAAGATGGAAAGGGTTGTGTGGTTGTAAGAGGCCTAGAAGAAGAAGCCGTGTATAGTGTCAATGAGATTTATACCCTATTGGAACAAGGGGCCTCGAAGAGGCGTACGGCGGACACCTTGTTAAACAAGCGCAGCAGGTATTATTTTCTTCATTTGATACAGAATCTTGAGTCTCTAAAATCTCAAGTCTAGGAAGAAAAGCCATGACCAACTTCATGTTTGTTTTTTTGTTGCAGCCGCTCGCATTCGGTTTTTTCCATCACTGTGCACATCAAAGAAGCGGCAGTTGGTGATGAGGAGTTAATCAAATGTGGAAAACTTAATCTTGTTGATCTTGCAGGATCAGAGAACATATCTCGCTCAGGTGCACGAGAGGTACGGTACTTTTAGTTTTCGCGTTATATGTGCTTTAGGATAGTTACTAAAGATATCTTAAACATTTTTTTCCCCCTTATCTGGGCTTTCAATAGGTTTTCTAGTAGTTTGTCATTTGTTAACGTTGTTGTTCTTTTTGATTGAAATAATGCAACTCTATTAGGGCCGTGCAAGAGAAGCAGGGGAGATAAATAAGAGCTTGCTCACCTTGGGTCGTGTCATCAATGCTCTAGTGGAACATTCCAGTCACATACCATACAGGTTCATCTCACAACAATATTTTTACCATTTTAATTTTATTTTGGTTGTGCAAACATTTTTTTTTAGTATGTGTTGAATTCTGTATGCAGGGACAGTAAGCTTACCAGGTTATTAAGAGACTCTTTGGGAGGGAAAACAAAAACTTGCATCATTGCCACAATTTCTCCATCTGCTCACAGTTTGGAAGAAACTTTAAGCACACTCGACTATGCCTATCGTGCCAAAAATATCAAAAACAAACCTGAGGTTTGTCTTTATTTATTTTTCCTAACTATATTCTCTATGGAATTTTTCAGTGCTTCTTGTATTAACAAATGAATTTCATCTTTGCAGGCAAACCAAAAAATGTCCAAGGCTGTATTGCTTAAGGATTTGTATTTAGAGCTTGAGAAAATGAAAGAAGGTGACTAATGCCCATGTATCTATAGATTATTCTTGTGACAAAAGCTCGACACTAAATTTGTTGTCTGCATACAACTTTAACAGACATTAGAGCAGCAAGGGAAAAGAATGGTGTTTACATTCCGCACGAAAGATTTGCCCAGGATGAAGCTGAAAAGAAGGTAATTTTCTTCCTATCATGGAAAACTTTTAAACTGTAAACTGAATCTCGTTTGACATGTAGCTCATGAGTTTAAAATTAAGGGCCCGTTTAGTTCGCTGATTCGAGTTTTTAATTCGAGTTGAGATGTGATTTTATGTGAGAGCTTTTTACTGTAGCAAAAAAGTTAAATGTGACTGTTTCTGAAAGCTTTTTATTGTAGCAAAACTCGAATTTTAAATTTAAATCGCTGAAATGAATGAGACCTAAATATACTTACAGGCTAGGAATGAGAAGATAGAACAATTGGAGAACGATCTTAACCTTGCAGAGAAGGTAAGATATTCCCTCTTAAGTTTCCATGTTTTCTCTTAGAATATCTATATTAGTTACCACTTACTAATATCTTTCTGCAGCAAGTGGATAGCTTCCGCGAGCTCTATATTTCCGAGCAAGAAGAGAAGCTTGATCTACAAAAAGAGCTTAATGATTGCAAGGTATGTGTACCATAACAGTTGGATTTCTTATGAATATGAACCCTGTATTGAGACTTGTCCGTTTACAGATAAGTCTGGAAAATAGTAACAAGGCATTGCTTGAGCTCCAAGAGAATTATAGAGTGGCAATGTCAACTCTTAGAGAGAAGGAGTTAATCATCTCAAGCCTTCTATCCTCAGGTGAGGAAACTCAGATATCATTGAACAAAATCAACTCTCTGTTTCTCTATGTTTCTCTTTCTCTCTCATAATAATTTTTGCTTTTTTGGTTATTACTGACAAATAGTTGTGAATTTCTCTACACATGAGTAGAAAATTCTTTAATTGAGTGTGCAAAGGGGATGCGTAATGATCTGCAGCATGCGTCAGAAGATATAAGTTCATTGTTTGCACAATTAGGTATGTAAAATTGTCAATTGCCCTTGATTGTGCATGATATTCATGTTATTTCACTTACTATTCGATTTCATTCAATAAATGTTGTTCTTCATGTAAACTTTTGCTCTTCATATATGGGCATAATAAACTCTTTCCCCATAATTAAGCTACGTTTTAGTAAATTTGGAAATTTGAGTGAGAAAGTTGTACTATTTGCAGATCAGAAAGACAAGATGGAAGCGGAAAATCAAAACTTGCTTTTGACATTTGGGTCTCAGCTTGATCACAGTTTAAAAGACCTCCATAAGACCATCCTGGGGTCTGTTTTGCAACAAACACAACAAATGAGATCTATGGAAGAACATTTTCGCGCAAATCTCGCCAGTAAATGTGATGTAAGAAATAAACTTTTAAAATAGGATATTAAAATTTACTTATATGTTATCCATTTTAATGACACCATCTCAATTATAGGTGACTCAAGCATTGGAGTCACGGGTTAGTAAAATGACAGAGACATATTGCTCAGGAGTAGCGAGCTTGAAGGAGCTTGCTAACATGTTACAAAGAAAAGCATCATCTGACCTGGAGCAGATATATGCTACAATATCATCACAAGCGATCTCTGTTGAGAATGTAAGTAGTTATTGTTGTAAAGGTTAGATTAATTTGTTTGAAATTTGTTCGCAAAGCTTGGATTAATTTATCGAGTATAATGCGCTTTTCTCTTGCAGTTTCTTGCCACAATGGTTATGGATGCTGAGGAGGTAATCTCTTACACACAAAGTTCTCTCAATAAGCAGAAACAACTGTTGGATTTCTCCACCAAACAGCAAGAGGAAGTAAGTTTTCTTTTTTCTTTTTTTTTTCTTTTAATTATAAGAGTATCAAAGTTTATAGAAGATGAGCTAAAGAGAGCTCTAATATATTCATGGAAAATTGCAGGGACTAAAACGAAGTTTAATTGCCGCGCAAATGATTTCAAGTGCAACTATGAAGTTTTTTAATGACCTCAATGATCGGGCTTCTCAAGTCAGTAGAATTCTTGAAGAAAGTGAGAATGAAAGATCCAACCAATTAGGAACTTTTGAAAAGATGTTTAAGGTACACCCATGTGCACTTTTGTCGATGATTTTCAGTATAAGAAAATTAAACGCAAATCTAAGTTTGCCACCATATTGAAACAGGAAGAGGCTGCAAGAGAGGAGAGAGCAGCTTTAGAGAACATTGCAGCCATATTAGCAACTGTAACATCAAAGAAAATTGCCATGGTAAAAGGGTTTAGAGATGCAGCTTTTGTTTTTCTTTCATCTCCTCTTGATTTGAAGGTCTCGAGTATATTTATGGTTGACGTGAAAAAAAAAATGTACTCAGGTATCAGAGGCGTCAAGGAACATCTTGGACACTAATAAACAAGAGAATAAGAGGTTGCTGCGGGAGATGTCGAACATGCAACAAGGTACTATTGGCGCTACGACGGAGTTGAGCGAATTCTTAGAAAAGGCAGAAAATCATTACATGGAAGATACATTCTCAGTAGCTGAACATAGGACCTTTATGGAAAATTGCCTACACCAGTGGTAATTTATCAGTATTTACATATGGTTTTTCCTATCTATGCCATTTTGACAATCTAAAACGCGCATTATCAAGTGTTTATGCTCTCAAATGGTTCATATGCAGCTCAGAGAGGGTGGATTATTCTAGGCAACAGTGGAGAAATGCTCAGTCGTCCATCAAAAATCTCAATGAGAAGAGTGTTGCAGAGATACAATCCGCAGTGAAGTGAGTATTTGTTCCCTAATTCATCAAAGTATCCTCTTGTCTTAGTTACATGTTTCTTAATTTTTCTTACGTTTTCCTATATTGATATGTTGGTTTGCTTCATTTGTTTAACAGGGAAAATATCTCCACAAATCATGTTGCACACAAAGAATTTGTTTCTGCGTCTCTGAAGGTGGACGACGACTTTAATGCTAGCGCAATTGACACTTTGACAGCCATAAATGGTAATTCAATTCTCTTTCGGGGATTTTAATTATGTATGCTTTATAACATAATCCGCTAACTAACTGAAAAGAAGAAATGGCAGATTCGCTACTTCAAGACCAGGAAAATAAGAAGGAATCAGACTCCATGACTGCCCTGTGCTTAGATGAGCTCAAGTCAATACAAGAGAAGCATGGAAAAAGCATATCAGATATCAGAACTCAAGCAGAGAAGTGTTTTATAAAAGATTACATGGTATATTATCTTACAACCGCCAATTGCTTTAATCCTCATGATGAGATTCAATTCTCATACTTGTGTTGTGTTTGACCAAACAAGGCCTCAGTGCGTTTACTTTAGTTTAGCTAAGAAGCTTAGAGGATATTTGTTTTCTATATTCGTCTATGATTTTGAATCATGATTTATAGTTCTCTACAGTGTTTTTCTTTCACAAAAAACACATAAAACGAAAATAGTTCTGACTCATGATTTTGAATCTATTAATTAAACGTCCACTTACTGATTTAAATTTCTGTATATAGGTTGATCAGCATAATAGCACCACACCGAAGAAACGTATTGTAAGCGTGCCGAGCTTGACATCAATCGAGGAGATGAGAAGCCCCGCATTTGAAAATGTTGCGGAGAAGAAATTAACATGGAGCCACAAACATACAGAAAGCAAGATCCCTCATCTGGCTTTTTCACCTCTTAGAACTCCTTTTACAGATATCAATTAACTCCAGGAGAAAAAAGCGAAAGTGTCACACTTGCTGTGCGTTTTAAAATTAAGCATACTCATCACCTGATGAGTTACCAGTGGTAGTAAGTCGTAATATGCAGGGTTAGCACGCCGACAATAATCTGTAGTATTCTAGATTTTGTCTAGATTTTTTGTTTGCTATTATTATTAATGAGATCATCTATTTTTGGCCCAACTGCTTAGCTGCACTCAAATAGTGATCAGTTTCGCTAACATCTCGTTTAATTTGTCGATTTAAATTTTTAATTTGAGTTGAAATGTAACTTTATATGAGAATTTTTTACTATAATAAAAAAGTTAGATGTGACTTTTTATAAGAGTGTTTAACTGTAATAAGGTTTCGTTCACTTCGCAAATTTGAGTTTTCAATTCGAGTTGAGATGTGATATTTTCTAAGAATTTTTCACTGTAACAAAAAAAGTTAGATGTGACATTTTCTGAGAGCTTTTAACTGTAGAAACTTAAAACTAAAAACTCGAATCTATAAAATGAACAAGACTTTAGAATTAAAAACTCAAACATTTTCTTCTCTCTCAGTCTCTCTGGTATGAAAGCTGGAGGACGTTAGTACTTGAATGTTGCCTATTTTGAAATCTTCTAGAAAACACACCCACAAATTGCTCTTACTTGTTGTGGTTTGGTCATTCATTGGATGTGAAAATGAAATGTAATGAAGAAGAGTACAAAATTACATTTTAAAAGACTAATAAAAGGGTAGTCTGTTTGAAAACACTTTAATTAACGATGAACTGTGTTGGTGAATTTTGTAAGATGAAGAACTATAGAGATCAAAGTGTGAAAACTAAAAAGTCATAATTGACCGTGAATTAAAAAAAGGCACAATGTTTCAAATGCGCTTTTGCTGTCGGCGGAGTAGATAACAATCAAATTGTCAGCCATCATTCTCACCTGTATGCCACATTAATCTTTGAAGGCATCCGTATCTTGTGAACTTCTATTTTTTGACGAAATTGCAAAAAAAAAAAAAAAAAAAAGGTTTTTCACTCTAGATAAATTAATTAGAAGCTAAATTTAAGATATATTAGATGCGTTTAGAACTCGTTTTAAAATACTTTTATTTTTTATATGAAAATGAAAATGAAAACGTTTTCAATCTCAAACAGAAATTATTTTTAAAAATACGTTTGGTAGTTTTATTAAGAGATTGTTTTCAGTATAAAAAAATTCATTAATGTCTCTCTCTCTACCCGATAGAAGAGAAAACAGAAATAAAAAATAAAAAATGATTTCTTTCTCATTTTATACTAAACTAAAAAATCATTTTTATTTCTATTTTTTATCTTTAATTGTATTAAACGCTATTTTTTTCCATTTTTATTTTTTCTTTCTCAAAAAACGTAAAAAAATAAAAATAAAAACAACTCCAAACACATATATTTTTTCTCCTTAAAGTAGTTTCTCAAACGAAGATAATGTGAGGGAAAAAAGTGGAGAAAGGACCCTTATTCCATTTGGGTTAGTTAAAGGTCGTACCTCACATGTGTTACACGTGCTAGCATGTCTAAAAGAAAATAATAGCACAGTTTTAAAGTTCAGGAGAGAGGATGTAAATTTTAAAGTTCAGGAGAGAGGATGTAAATTTTAAGACATAAATCGTAACACAAAATTAATTATGAACATTGATAGTGTATCTTGATACAAATGACATAGTTCAAGATAAATTTGTAAAATTTATCTTTTATAAAATTGTAGCAATCAACTCCAATTGTTCATTAGCTTTAGATTTTAGACGCAGTGATTACTATGCTTTATTGCGCGCTTTGTAGTCAACACTTTCCTTCTTAAAAGGTATCTATAATCTCTTGATAATTCAGTCCGTGCATTAGTCTTAAAATTCTGTAAAATTTAGCTTTCGTCAACTAGTGGACATATTTGAAACTCTAGAAAACAGAAAATTTCAAAAAAAAAAAAAAAAAAACGAAAATACGAGAAAGCCAAGATATAACCCCCATCGCTTAATTCCCAAGAATTTTCTGCGTATCATACAAACAGACAATAAAATGCTTTTTTCTTATGCCTTGTTTAGTTCGTTGATTCGAGTTGAGATATTATTTTATATGAGAGCTTTTTATTATAGTAAAAAAATTAAATGTGACTGTTTCTGAAAATTTTTTACTGTAACAAAACTCAAATCAGTGAAATGAACGAGATCTTAGTATATATTTCAGAAAACTTTTCGGAACATTCCCAGAAACTCAACAGCAGATGAGGAAGCAACAACGATGCTGTAATATAGCTTTAGCCAGTTGCCATAAACGACTGGCTTTCTTAACATGTTTAGTTTACGTATGCACACACATAATATGTACATATGTACACACGCACACATAATATATATATATATATATACACACACACACACACACAGAGTGTAGTCTCAATGTCAACCGCGTACAATTGAACAAAATAAATAGTCCTCTTCGTCGGTTGCACGTGGCTAATAATAGTATAATAGTTCTCGTGTCTTGTATGGCACACAAACAAAAGAAAAGTACGTAATGACAACTTTACCAAGTCAAAAGAAAAGTCAAACTCACGGAATTCCCTAATTGCCCACAATTTAACAAGCCCAAATTCAAACTCAGAGGGGGGCAATCTTGTAATTTAGCTGAGTCAAAGAGTCAAATCTTGAACACCCCCCCCCCCCCCCCCCCCCAATATAAATACCAGGGAGCAGTCTCGCCCTAAACAATCCTATCCAATTCCCACAAGTCGTAAGCCTCACAAAAACAAAAACAACAAAAAATCATTCCTTGTACGTTCCATTTACTTGTTTAAAATTCTAGTGAAAATCATTCCTTGTACGTTCCATTTACTTGTTTAAAATTCTAGTTTTTGTTCAACTTTGCAAACCAAGTCCGTCATGAAGAGGATGAGAGAAGAAGAGGAAAAGAATTATGAGCTTGACACGGCAAAATACCTAATGCTCCTCGGTTCGGGTTTGGCTGTGCAGCCTATCAGACAGTACCGACCACCATCAACCGATGTTTTCGAGTGTAAAACTTGTAACCGCCGCTTCTCGTCATTCCAAGCGCTCGGAGGCCACCGGGCCAGCCACAACAAGCGGAGGATGACGGTTGATGATCATCACGAATCGGCGAAAACGAGCCCCGCCAAGAGCTCGTTACCAAAGAAGCACGAGTGTAGCATATGCGGGGTGGTGTTCTCAATGGGGCAAGCCTTGGGCGGCCACATGCGCCGCCACAAAGCCATCATGGAGATGCAAGGGTCGTTTGCCGATATCATGCCACATCATCATCATGATGTTGTCGTTTCGAAGACTCCGGTTGTGCTGAAGAGATCTAATAGTAGTGTCAAGGTTTCATGGACGTTGGACTTGAACCTAACGCCTTTGGAGAATGACTTGAAGATCTTGTTTGGGAAGATGGCTCCAAAAGTTGATCTTTTTATTTAGTTCTTCATAATTAATTTTGTGTTTCTTTTTTTCTTAACATTGAAATTCATTCATTCATTTGATGTAAAATTGTGTTCATTAATTAAAGATTTTTTTCATCAATACATCTTTGCCCTTTCAAGTTAGTTGGCTAGTTACACTGTAATATTTGTATGTAATTCTGTTACTTTTTTTTTTCCTGACATTGATATTCTTTAATTAACCAAATAATCCCAATTATTATTTTTGTCAATAAAAAACAACTTCTTCTATTGACAAAAATGCGAGATACGACTAGTTGAACCCCGTTAATTTTATCTCCACTTTTAAGTTTCAACTGATTTTAGTTATTTCACTAGTCTAAAAATTAATAGAGAAAAAATAAAGAAAAGAAAAAGGAGGTAAATACTCTTTCTATAGGATAATAAAGACCTTTTAGAGTGTATATATATCTAGATTTTTACTCGTTACTCTTGATTAATATTTTTTTAGTCATATAACTATATGAGTCAAAAGAGTATTAATCAATAATAAGCGATAAGAATTCATACCTATGCACTCTAAAAGTAAGCTCAACAATTTTCTTTAAAATAAAATTTTCAACTATGATGTTACCCTAGCTAAGTGCGTTGTGTATCTATTTTGTAATGCAATTTTCAATCTCATCAACTTTATTTCAGTCAAATACTAAACACAAATGATATATATATATATATATATATAAGTTCATAATCTCGTTGCAAAGTTTTTCCAATACGTTTGAGAGCTTGACAATGTAACCTCCATTCATTCAAATCTTTTTTTTTTTTTTGTTCGTCTCTCTTTTTTTCTTTTTTTTTTTTTAACTATTTCGCTGAAAACATCATGCAATTTTACAATACAAAAGATAGAGCAAAAGGAACTCACAATCAAATAATTTACTTCCTCCGAATGGAATCTTAAATAATGAAAGAGAATGGTGCCCTTTTCAATTTGGACAACTGGGCATCAACGATCAGTATTAATCCCTTTTCAATTTAACAGGACCAAATAGAAATTCAGGCTGCGCCCCAAAGCATGACGTAATTCTTTATGATAAAAACGACAGATAAAGAATTGCAAAACTCTGCAAAACGACTAGTTCAAAAATTTGACGATAGAGCTTATATAAGACCGCTTGGTCTAGTGGCACCAGAGGTTATTGGGCAAAGTTTTAAGTAAATAATTAAAAAAGAACCGACAAATAACAACGTATTAGAAGGGAAATTATTTTTTGAACGAGATCATCCAAAAAGTTAAACCATGACTTTAAAAATGAAATTGTAAGAGCAATATATAAACGACAATAATTTGAGAAACAACAATACTAGCCAATATAAATTAACGGTCAACTCACGATCAACTAATTGAGGGGGTATTTGTATAATTTTCTTTAAGAAATTAGAGGGTGTTGATGTGATTAATTTCAATTTAGAGAGTGCCACTATACCGTTGGCAAAATACAAAAGGTGTCACTATAATATTTTAGGGACCGCCAGATCAGAGACACCCTTTTGGTAGCCGGCCAAACTATTCTTCTTCTTCCCACTCTCTCTCTCTCTCTTTGAAATTCTCTCTCAAATCGAAAAATCTATTGTATATAAGGGAAAACTTTCGGGTCTATGGATAATTAATAAATTAGATTGAATTTGTGCATTTGCTCTTCTAATCATTTTTATTACCGCAAAAATTTCACTAGCTAGTTAGCGTAGATAAGTAAAATTTAAAAAGGTGTCTACAAGACTAAAATCTATTGTGTGTGACTTCAAAATAACAACAACAATAAATGAATGGAGAATATGAGTAATGTTCGTGGAGAAAAGGTTTTCTCCACATAAAGAAAAGGCATCGTGACTTCATCAATAATATCTCGTCATTAAAGGGGTTTTACTGATAAAAATCAGTAAAACGCGCCTCTTTTTATTGTCAATAAAGCTTTCAAGGGTGTATTTTTTTTTTTTCTCAACAATTATTTTCGGGACAAAGATGTGGTATGGGGGCGCTTTTTTTCCCTACCGGTAGAGTAAAATTGTAAAGAGCCGTCGTGCATATTAGTTTTAAGATAAAAGGCTTACAAATAAGGTTTCGTTCATTTCACTGATTCGAGTTTAGAATTCGAGTTTTGCTACAGTAAAAAGCTCTCAGAAACAGTCACATCTAACTTTTTTGTTACAGTAAAAAAACTCTCATATAAAGTCACATCTCAACTCAAATTAAAAACTCGAATCAATGAACTAAACGGACCCTAAGTAATTGAACACTGAATAACAGAAGAGGCTGAAGAGCCACGGCATCTGTAATCAAATACTAATCTCTGGATTGTAGGATATCATTGAGTGGCTAATTTTCTTTAATTTGCTTAGGTTTCAACGTGTTAATCAAAGTTCTCATATTATCATTATATTGTTCCTACTTAAAAACAGTACTAATATAATAAAGAATTTTTCAAACAAATAAGAGTATATGTCCATATGTAGAGTACCATTTTTCTGTTGTAATTTTCAATTGTAGAATATATGCAGAAAGCAATAAAACCATACAGGAAGTGTGAAATTATCCATTAATTAATCCTAGCTAGCATAAAAATAAAAATCTAAACTAGCTTGATTCATGCACCATACAGATTATCCCGGTGATTCTGGAGCAAGCTCTCAACGTCTAAACTTTTTTTTTATTTTAATAAAAGTCTAATAATTTATTTTTCATATATATATGTGTGTGTGTGTGTGTGTGTGTATAATATAAACTTCGCCATCAGATATAGTATGTATTTTGTTTTCTATATTATGTATTTCTTTTTTCACCTTATAATTTGTATGGATATAATTATTTGGTGGGTTCATCAATGCATGAGCGCCGGTTATGATGTTGACTTAATACTAAAAATTAGGACGTGTATATATATATATATATATATATAATAAAGAAATTAGTTGGCACGCAAGACTCTAATTAATTAGGACCAAACGACATATATCCTTGACATTTGAAAAATACGGTTAATTAATTAATGAGTTAAGCCAGTGCTCGATTATTTTTTCTATTTAGTTTTATGCTTGATTAATATTAGTACTCGTTCAAATGCATATGATACATCCCTTTAATAAGAATGCAAGCGACATTAAATATGTTTTTAAACAAAGTTCTAGCTTTACGTAGAGGTTTTGGATAAATCTTCTAATCTATTTTAGGTATATTAGCTTTCCATTTGTCTAAGAGACCATACAGCTGTATAATTAATCACCTAATTAAGCTGCAAAATGTCGCGTGGAAGTGGATTAGAGTTCTTAATATATGTATAATTATACAAACACATATTTACTTTCATAATTAGTAACTATATATTTTCATATTATTTAGCCAATCCAATTATTTTGACTAACGTACGTGAATCATGTTTCCCATGTCAATTCGGTCCAATTTGGACTATGTAAAAACGTCATTGCTTATATATCCACCGGCCAATTTGTCCCCAAAAAAACAGAAGCAATAGGTGCTTTTCAAGGGGGAAATAATTAAGTTTTTAATAATCAGCTTATGCGCTTATACTTACCTAATATACACGTATAATATTATATATAAATATATATATATATATATATATAATGAGTCTCCGTGTTGAGGGGACCAAATTAAAGTGGTCGTAGGGGAATCTAGAAATAGTAATGTTGAAGTGGGGCTCTAGTGGATTTCCTGTGTTTTTTGAGTATTCTTTGTGTCGTAGAAGAAAGATTCTTAATTTGATCAGACAGATTTGGAAAAGCATTCGACATATTGGACGTAAGCACCGATCAAAATTAGAAGGAAAATATCATTAATCTTAACATTTGTTAATTGACATCTAATATTTTCGTTAATCGCTATAAGTACTCAATCCCGTGCATATATATATAGATGCTTGCTCAAGCTCGAAAACACAAGTAAATAAGCTAACTATATATGAACTTAATTGGTCAGATTACTTAACAGCCAATTACTAGCTATGATCATATAACTCAATATGATCCAATGCAAATCAAGAAAACCTATTATTATTTTTATTATTATTGTTGTTGTTGTTGTTAAGTTTGGCTGCAAGCCAAAGCTATTTCTTGTTCTCTTTTCAAAGTCCTTTCCAGCTTGTTCTTATTTTAATGAAAAGAGAAATTCAACAATTATTAGTCAAAATAATTAGGTTTGATTAATTTTCATATAAAGTCTTGTCAAGTTATAAAATATAAACCGTATTGGAGAAATCTAGATTCAAGTCATAATAAGATAGCCATTCATTGCATTGTCCTGCATATCATTGAAAAACGGAATAAAAAAAAAATGAGAGAGAAAAAGGATTTATAATATTATTGCTTTCTTTTTCTTTTTTTTAGTAGCCCGAATAAAACTCAAACCAGTTGCAAGTTTCAACAAATAAAACGATCCGCCATTATCAAAAGAGTACTTAAGTTCGAATGAAAGTTGGTGTTATTGTTGTGGGACACATCAAACATGATTAGGACAAAACCTAAAATATGTTGCAATGCCATAATATTGGCAATTGGCACAAGCTCACTCATCATTACCGTCCTAAGTTAGCTCGCCATGAACATAATAAATTTCAATAATAATAATCATAATAATAGTAATTTTAACAATTAATAAAGAGCATATATAATCAATTTTTTTAGTAAAACAAAAAAAAAAAAAAAACTTACAAATATACCAATCCTTACATTAAAAAAATAATGCTATGATGATGCACACTGGTTCAATAAATGTAGATACATAATAGAAGGTGAGTTTCACACTAGTTCATAAACTCTATAGATGAAGCTTACTTTTTATCAATTGTGGAGTCCATCATCATTAGCCGGGGGTGTTTTTAAACATTTTTTTAAGTACTTTTTATGGAATATACGTTTAAATAGCCAAATAGTAATAATATTTGGTCCGATATTCTTTATCTTTTTATCGCGTAATAGTTTTTTTTTTTTTTGACAAATGCATCTCACCTACAATAATGAATAGCAATACTAATGTTTTACATCAAAATGTGTTCTTTTTGTTTGTTTTT